CTGAAAAAGCTCAGCATTTTGTAATTGGTTTTGGTTGTTGGAATTTGATCATCAGACTCACTTGCATTCATTCAAAAAAAAGATTATGATTTAAATTTGAAGCATCAATTCTTCTAGATATTTATCATATGAGTATGTTTATTGAATCATAAATTAAAAATTGGATGATAAATGCATCAATTATCTTGAATATGGTATTTGTAGTTGTCAATCATTCAATCAATTCATCAATACCTATTGAAACATTCATTGAAATTCCACACCAACAAGCCATCAAGTATATCATTAATAAAATAAAATCTTGAATAACTCCTACCGATGAAGTTATCATAGAATAAGTTATCTTAATAGTCTCCCCAGACATCTTTATAGCTGTTTTTTTGTCTCGTACTTGAATTCACGAGACTCCAGTGTTGTTTTATCTCTCTAATCCCGTTACACGAACCCCAGCATTCTCTCAACGGAAGTATTGTCGTCCATTTAAAGGCCCAACATAAATTACTAACATCCTCTAAATATATTCAACTTCAATGTGTATCAATTTCAGTAATATCCCTCATCAAACAATTAACGGTACAGAGTATTTCCGGTAGTAAAAACATGCCCATATCTGTACATAAGCTGAATAAATGTTGTTATCTTCATTGAAGTAATGCAATCAAGGTTTGCAGAGCAGAGAAAAAGTTAAGAGTCTTGAACATAAACATTAGCTAATGTTAACTACTCTAGCTTCCAATGAATATTAAAATTCGAATGCCCCACGCATGTAAGATAAAGAGTCAACGATAACTAATTCGAAGTAATCTAATAGAAATGGTTAAATGATAATTCAAGTAAAATATATAAAGATATGCATTTAAAAATTCAAAGGGAAGTATTTTGTTGTAAGAAAAGTAAACGACATTGAATAATGAATAGCACAAGGTAGAGAGATCGTTGTCCGGAAAATCGCAAGGTGTAAGACAACCAAAGATGTGTATAAACTTATAGAAAGAGACGAAATGTGTTATACCCACGCTTTATACTCTTGGTTATGTGGCATTCAACTTGGAGGAACTCGAATATTCCTACAGCTAGCGACGAGTTAGGCTGTAAGTGAAGAACATATGTGTCTGACTATACGTGGATACGTATCTATAATTTATGTAGGTATGTATAACATCGTCGTCTAGATATAAGATACTTATCTCTAATTGCAAAGATCTAAACCACACCTCTAGTTAAAAAGATTTCAAGAGTTTTTTGAATAAATTTCTTATGAAAATGGTAATTGATTCTAGACCTAGGACAAGGCCAATAAACGTGTTCCACTAAACGACTAATCGCTACAAAGATAAATAAACAAAATTATTCAAGTTTTTCTCTGAAAGCTTTTTCATTATAATAAGCAAAAAGTATGAAAACTTAAGATGCTTATTTATTGACTATTCAAAATCTAAAATATCATTCTCTGTAATCGTTATAGTTTTGTTTATAAAAAATAATCTGAACTGGAGGATGGTTTTATTGAACAAACCTATCAACTAGATATTAGTTTATCGTGGGTATTATGATTATTATGCCGTCTGATTAAATAAAAGAATTTGCGAAATTTATTTATCTTTATTCGTTAACAGGATCAGAGATGCATTTTTATTGTATTGTAATCTATAAATTATTAATTAGTTTCTAATTCATGGTTATTGCAATATCCAATTTAATTTTTTCTTCAGTTTGTGACATTTGTGTTGAGGAAAAAAAAATATATAAATGAATTATATTATGATAATTGTGAAATAAATTTAATTATAATTGTCCAATAGATATCTTGAAAATAGATAAAAAGTTTTAATTCATATTTTATTTATCTTAATGCCAATTTTATTCCATTTTTAATTTTTGTTTGATGTTTGGGACATAAATAAAAATATTGAGTTGTTTTTTAAGATTCTAAAGTAGTTGATTTAACATTTTGTCGATGAGTTCGCACATATAGTTCTACATCACTACGTGATCTCAGTAAAAATCATAGGATTCTTCAGTAAAATTTCACGAAATTTTTTTTCAATAAAATCTTTTTTCGAGATTGCTTAAAAAATAATGATTTGATTTTTTAAAATTATCTGCCGTATGTAAAGTAAACCTTTACGATTCAACATTAAAAGTAAAAAAAAAAATAAATCATGTTTTTCTGCAGACATTTTTTAAGTGCTAGAATTACCTTAATCCAATGTTTACTGGTGTCGATTTAATTTTTGAATTAAACTCCCATGACCTGGGCAAAAGTAATTGATTGCTTCATGGATATTTTAATTATTTTTACTAATATGAATGTGTTGACAAGAAAATATTTTACACCAAGGTCAGTTATAGCATATTTAATGAACAGACCTAATAAAAAATCTTTTTTATTAGAATATTTATAAATTTATCACAAAAAAACAATCATTAATCTTAATTAGATAAATAAATAAAAAATGACAAATATTTAAAATAAATGAGTTCGAGTAATTGTTCACTTGTAAACACATTCTGTAATATTATTTTCAGTTAAATTATGTAATATGTAATGATAAAATCATGGTTCTTGATAAAATATACTCTCTTGTCAAAATGAAATTATTATTTCTACAATTTTCTGGAGCATATAATAATAAACTGCATCCTGATCTAAATCAATCAATCAACTAGAGTAATTTACATCCATCAAGAAAATAATAGACACATGAAATGTAAATGCAATAAAATAAAAAATAAAAAAATTGAACAATTATAATTATTTCAATGGAGTAAAAGTTGCACTTTGTAGACTGTCACCAATCGATAATGATACAATAAATAGCTCGATATTATTCCTGTCGCCTAATTTATTCTAAAGTATAGTCTATAAATAATTAATGCGTATATTGTGTATATATTGATATGAATAGAAACATATCTACTTAGATTTTATGACATATATTCCATGCAGTTATCACATGAAACTAATAAGCAAATATGTAAGTACATTTTTTTTATAATTAAAATAAAATTTCGTTGCATGTTATAATATTTTTCATTAATAAATATGACCTCAAAATAATATTATTCAACTATTCTTTGCGTCAATAAAATTTGAATCAATCGATCACTTTCTCAACTGATAGTATCGAAGGTTACTTCACCCAAGGTTGTATATTATGTGATAGTGATATTTTTTATTGTTCCTTGTTTTTTTTTCCTTTTTATTAAAATTAATTAAACTAGTCCTTTTTTATGAATTACATTTAACATTTATTCAACAACAGCAAAAAAGAAACTGTGAAAGACAAATTCATTGGACTATTAATTGTTTAGAGGAAATGACAAGTAGTTAAACTTTGATAATAATGAAGTAAGAATTTTTTGCTGGAGAATAAATTGACTGGATATCAATAAAAGACATTTAACTGTTATAAGACGAGAGGAAAAGCTTGAAAAAATTTTAAAATCAGCTGTAGGTAAATTTTATGAGTATTTAATTATCAAAAATGAACGATTAAAGTTCCAAAGTAATAACAATTTGTTTCTTTATTCCTACTTAAGTAAGAAAGTCATTAAGATGTTTATAATTTCTACCCTGGTGGCTATCAAGAACATTGTAAGTATTGCAAGTTACTGTATAGATAACGCGAATATCCTTGACTCCAGTGACACACGCGTTCGCGTAGGTGCGTTCTCTCTATTCGTGTGGGTCTCTTTTACTGATCTCGATCAAACTCACGAGTAATCATAAGAAATGACCGAGTGACAGGCCTGTATCTCTAATGCACTCTCACATATATCCACATACGAATGATTGTGTACATATACTCCCTTACATTGATCCAACACGTGTGCCCAGATTTTACGAGAAAGCGCAATGGGCGTTCGGCATCAACAGACACCAAGCGAAACAGAAACATTGCCCGGCTCAAGTCTTACAAAACAATACCTCTGGATTGTAAAGAATGTAAATTATTTAATATTATACTAGTAAGTGTACTACATAGCAAATACCTATTTTTCATTGCTCGACTAAATTGATTGAAATGTTCCTATAAATAAATCAATAAACAAAATAGTTATTGATTGGACATTTTTAGTAGGCTCTTTAAATAAAAGCTAATTGGTAATACATAATAGGATTAGGTGATTTTCTATAATTTAATAAGTACTCTCATATTTATATGAATAAAAATGCTGGAAATCCGGAGGATTAATGCAATCATATAAAATTTTGTAATTTTTAATTCCTCGATTATGTCGTTAAACATAAATGAGTCGCTGATATGCAGGTCTAAAAATATCATTGTTTGAATTAGTGCTATTATTATCACTGCAAATAATTTATATCCACTGGTTCATTTTATTAAATTTATTTTAATAATAATTCGAGTGTATAGATTGCTAAAAAAATGTTCTGAATTCAAGTAGCTGATAGTAGGAAAATAAAATCATTACAGATGAACGGTAATTAAAAGCAAGTGGATTGCTAATCTAACTGCTTTATTCAATAATTGTATTAGCACTGACAATCAGTGAATTTCTACTGATTCATTTGAACAAGTACATTTCGCGAATTTCTTTGTTTTTTTTTTGTTAATTTTGCAACAATCACCTTAGCCTGTTGTTATATCACATAAATTATCATACCATGGTTATCATGCCCATACTTATGTTCCACAGTGATACCAAAAAAGAGTATCTTTGCTGACAAAAATAGAATAAAGGTTAAAAAAAAAAAAAATAAGTTTAAGTACTCTGAGACAATTTTTCGTAATCCGTTATAAAGAGGTTTGCTAATAAAAAGGCCAACACATAGCGGCTTTTAAATTCCTGAAAGGTTTTAACCGCTATTTATAACAGCAATAAGAAATTCGGAAAGAGGAGCATTTAAAAATTTCTCCGGGCAACCCGGGTGTCGATTAAATCATCGATTATATTGCGCAACTTGATGGCAACTACGTCACAGTGGAGGTGAGCAAAGAAGATAACCTTACGAAAGGTAAAGGATAACTCACCAGCAGGACAAGTATCGTGCTCGTTGCGGTGCGCTCGTACGATAATCTCCACGCCATCTCTTTCTCGCGACGCTCCGGGGAGTGATGCCTTCTCCTACGCTACCAGGACATCCTTAGGCGCGGCGTGACATGAGCGATGGCCTCCCTTTTTTTCTTTCACTTTTCACAATTATCACTACTTATAACTTCAAATCTATTATATGCGTTTTCCTTTCTTGTTTATTCAATTGCTTTATTTTATTAACGTTTCATGGAAATGAATATTTTCAGATGGAATTTGGTCCAATTATAATGAGACTAGATGTTATCAATCTTTGATAATTATTTCCTTGGCTGCCTTTCGAATCCTTGTGATGCCTCAGTCCTTAGACTGATGTGACGGTCCTAACCGTGGCACAGGGCTCGGGCAACTGACAGCGGGTCACAGTCACCACGGCCGACGGCGCCGCCATGCCGCTCACAGCTGATCCAGAGGCGCTTACCGCTCGCAGCTTCATCTACCCTCTCTCTAATACTATCTCGCGATATGCTACACCGTTGTAGAGAAGGAGACTACTTTGAATCATCAGGGATAAAATCATTATTATCATGACATGAACTACTTTGAGGTCTATATCATTTATGGACTCATTCGGATAACTACGGTGGTGTGATTCATTTGGGAATTTTTCATTTGTTTATTAACTTTCAAGGTCATTATCTAGTTGAGATTCAGTTTTAAAATGAAACAATCTTTTCTTCTTTTAATTTTGATTGCGAAATTAAATTCCTGATTTTTAGTCCATGACAGACGAATTTAATGTTGAAAGAAAAATTAATTTATTTTGTGTAAAAGTTAGGTTAGATAAATGTCAAAGAGATGATTAGAAATTAAAATAATCAATGAAATTAATCAAATTATTCTCGGATGTATGTAGAAAAAAAAACATTAATTTTAACCTACAAGATGTTTATTATGAAAAAGGAGACATTTTTAGTGGAAAATAACCTAAAAAATGATGTTGGTGAGAAGCAGTTTGTTGTGATGAGATAAGAAGTTGATTGAAATAATGAAAAAAATATTTTCAGTATAAATGAAGTTATTATCTCACTTGAATAATTATATTTAAACAATTACCTTGATGATGAACACGCAGTATGCACATGATGCAAGATGTCAATCGAATCATGAAAGGTGTTATTCACGTCATGGGAATTGATCGCGTTACGGATGATGAAGCTTTGGAAATTTGAAGCAATTTTTGAAATCATAGTTATGAAACATCACAGACCAATGGAAAGACTTTCTTAGATATGATCATGCATAGATAATGAAGCAAATCAAGATAACCTGATCATGAAATTATAATAAACAAGTGTGATTGGAAACAAAAAAAAAATTGTCAACCATAATTATTCAATTATTCTTCAAACAAACAGACGTTAAAACTTTCACAACATCCGTATCCCGAAGTATAAGAATGTTTTAACGACGCCCTGGCATGTAATTACAAGCAAAGCACTCGCCGAGGACGTGGATCACACGATGCGTCAATGATTTTTACTCAAATGCACCATCCAGTCGGAGCACATTGTATGCGGGTGACCCTGCCAACATTATATGCCTCGTAGGGAACACCAGTAATGGTGAATTTTACCTTTATCTGCATTTCTCAGATGCTTGTTTTCCCATGTTGTCGAGGTCCATGTATTTGACCGTATTGCCAAGAATTCCGGACATGGTAAACGCTATATAACCATACGAGGTCAATGGTCATCTAGGAATATTTGTTCACATTGTTCTCGAAAAGGAGGAATCATCACCATTGTTGAGGTTAAAAATGTCCTTCCACAAAAATTGGATTTCTACCATGGCATATTCATCTAAACAATTGCTATAAAATTTCTACCATCAATTATTGATCAAATTGATCACTCTCCAACTGGTACGTTCACTCAATTTGCCTAGAGTTCATTGTAATTAAATACCATTAGCTATTTATCTGTAAAAGGTATAATATTTTACTGTTTCAGAATTTATTATTTGAATGTAAATAGTTCACTTCATCAATCAATAGAATGTGTTCTCCTGGAAAATGAAGAAAGGTAAATAATAAATTATCCACGATTTTTTGTAATGTTATATATACACATTAACAAAAAAAAAATCATAAATAAATAATTTATGTGTAAATATTTGAAACTAGATACGTGCAAAATTTATCAGATATAAATGTTGTACAAGTTTCTTTAACGATACTTGACAATCAGACTTTCATTAAGATAAAATTTAGTTCAATAATGAATTCAAAAAATGAACTTATTACGAATTTATTAATAATGAAAGTTCATATTACCGTAAGTTTAATGGTACTTATATAAAGATTTCGATTTATGGTAAATTGGGAATTCCATAAATTCGATTATTTTACATAATACATGCTTATTAATTGTGCTCTTTATGTCATCCGACTCAGCTTCGATTCAACAACATGGAAATATTCATGAAGAAATATAGTCATTTCGTTTTCTGTTGTAGAGGTCAGTATCTTACTTATCATAAAACATACATAATAACCAGATGAAATGTATAAAATACCAATCTTTTTTTTCTTTGACTCTTCGAAAAAAAAACACAAATGAATCAATGAATTAACACGTAATTTATATAATGATAATTTGATTCAAGTAGTGTTCTTCTATCACCAACAAGAAGACTGAAATATGTCAACTAATCTAAACTGGTCACTAACAGTTATTTTTTTAGGATTTGTTTACGAAATCTAATTTATCTAATTTTGCAGCAATCATCATTTTTAACTATCATCGAAAGTGTTTTGAGTACCAAATAAGTGTTATTTCTAGTGTAAATCATAAGTTGTAATACATAGTTGGAGAGATTTGTGATAAATAACAATCAATAGAAACTTTTTATCATCAATCAGACAGTATCAATAGCAGAGAATGAATTAAATATTTTTGCAAGGCTTAACGTATTCTTTCCAAAGCCGCCAATTATTGAAAATCACTCAATACTTACTTGATAATACCAGATAGGAGATAGTTGAGTGATTTTCAGCTACTTTATTACATTGCTTGCAATACTTATTGCGTAAAAATCATGACTCAAATCCAACCAATCTATTGATTTCTAAGAAAAGGAAATTAATTGGTAATCAGTTTGGTGTTATGATTATTTTCAACTTAAATGCATTATTTCATATCTCTTACACAATGTGTTGTTTGATTTCAATGAAGTCTCACTTTATTCTATCAAACCAATTAATTGAAGAATTTATCTATTCAAGAGCATTAATTTTATTTAGCTTCTGTATTACATTATTCTACATGTCAATGACGATCTTGTTGATTCATACTAAAATTAATAACCTAAATGTAAAATCGTCTGCTATTGCTTTTACTTTGTCTAGTTTTCTTTCGCATCCTTCTAGCTGATATTCTTTCAAATCTCTTAGCTTCCTCACGTTCCATAAACTCATCCATGCATCCAAGTCTTTTTTCCCTACAGTCCATAGGGATTCCACTTGCTGAACACTTGCAATAATGACAATAGGTATTGAAATCCTCAAATGGAGTACATTCTCGTTCATCTGCTCATTAAATGGCAGTTAATTAATTAAATTAAAATTATTGCAAGACAGAAAATTACACAATATATTTAATATAATGTTCTTACGTATTGGTCTTTTATAAATTCTAGAACATGTTACATGTTCACATAAACTACCATAGCCATGGGATTTACAGATGCATTCTCCACAACCATCCAAGTCTAAATGCTTCTTATTTGGCTCACAAATTGAATTTTCATCTGAAAATGGTTTTTAATATTGAAACCAAATTTTTTAATTACCATTTGTTGCAAAAAAGGTTTAAATATCATTTTTTAAATGTCTCTAAACGTAAAGAACTAATAAAATTACAAATTTCTATAACAACAACTTCCTAATGGGGTAAAAAACCATTTTGAAGTCTTGATATTCTGAATATTTATTTACTTACATTCAGCAGCTCTTCGACCACTATACCGTTCAGCACTAGTAACTGTAATAAGAGCTAATGTGGAAATATAAAAATGATTAAGTTAAGTAAATAAATAAATTTTTGTATGAAAATATAAATATTTTACCAGTTACAGCTAAGAAAAATATGATGGTAAACGAACGAATAGACATTGTGATGAAAGATCAAGAAGTATTTGCCGTTAGAATGCCCTATATACTCTTTCATGTACTTTGTTGTAGTGAGTTTGTCATTCACGACTGGCTCGACCGTGAAATAAGTTATGTCGAGAGTAAGAAGGCTGTTTGGCCAACTCGACAGCTATAGGTACTTGATTTACAGCTTAACTGTCGAGAGATTTTCCATTCTGCTGTTGACTTAACAAAATCTACACTTGTATTTTTATTTGAAATATAGGTAATGCAATTTTATTCAATTTCAATTGACAAAATATGTTGGAGGAATGAAATTTAAGTTGGGATAATTTATAGCACCAATACTTCATACAGTTAAATAAAAAGTTATTCACTTCATGGCTAAAAATGTGTTGAATTACCAATTTATTACTTACCGTCACAAATAAATAAGTATATTCGACGACAGTATGAAACTGCGAACGAGGTAATTATTTAAAGGTAATTATTTAGAATTGGGGCTCCAGTCAAAAATCGCTCCAAAAAATTTTTTATGCATTTGGGGTTGTTTCTGAGGGTACAAATAGTAAATTTAAGGCGGGGGAGACATATTATTTCCATTATTTCAGACATTACATGGTACAACTTACATATGATAAATCAATGAATTTCTTAAAAATCATTGATCGTACATTTCATAACGTAGCAAAAAGAGGCAAGGGGGGTGGAAGTGTTTATAATTTAGTTAACGCTTACTTGTCTTCCCCTCCATGCTCTTATTATATTAGAACTTTGATGTAAATAAACATATCAATTATTTTGTTTCGATTTCTCCGCGATATAAGCGATGAATTTTTTTGTTTACACTAATCCGACGATTACTGAGAATTGTATCTCTCCCATATTATGATATTATGATTTTCACTTCTAGAAATTTACATTCTTTTGCTTTTGTTCTTATTTATGAGTAAGTTTAGCATATATCTGTCTCGTTCATTCTTACTGGTAGAATAAACGTTCGTTTTCATACATACTGTTTACATTTTTTTATTTCATCGGTTTTGAAGGCAATTTATATTCAATTTATTCGCGATTTAGATCATTTTAATCAGTTTGATAGAAATCATGACGTGTGAAGGATGTTCCATATCTATTCGGCATGCGTCAATTAATTTTGAATCACGCGAACGTAGTCTAAAATTTTTGCAAGACCATGGAATAATAGTAGAAAGCGTATTGTGTACTACATGCGGTAATCCTGCATCGTTTTCTCCTCCGAAATGTCTATGGCGATGTCAGCGGCGTCATAGAACAAAACAAGGACATAAAGTCATTAATAAAAAGTGCAATTTTACAGTTTAGAAAAAATAAACAGCCTCTTTTTGCTACGTTATGAAATGTACGATCAATGATTTTTAAGAAATTCATTGATTTATCATATGTAAGTTGTACCATGTAATGTCTGAAATAATGGAAATAATATGTCTCCCCCGCCTTAAATTTACTATTTGTACCCTCAGAAACAACCCCAAATGCATAAAAAATTTTTTGGAGCGATTTTTGACTGGAGCCCCAATTCTAAATAATTACCTATTTAAATGTTATGCTGATTATGAAAAAAATGGTGACATGATTCACATTATTATGTCCTGAAATTCATCATGATTTTTAAAATTTTTATTCAATATTTTTTCCTTTTTTTTCAGAATGTTTTTTTCGTGACAAATCTAAACATAATAGCAACAAGCAACAAATTGGATCCTGGAAAACTAGAATTCTTCAGACAAACACACAGTGTAGGAGTCATACGCCCTCGTGAGTCCAAATGTATGCCTGAGCCATGAATTATTTTCAAAGACAACAAATTAATATTTAAGTGATGCATTTATACATAATAAAAATTTATTTCTTAATGTTCAGAAAGAACGACAAAATAATTGACGGTGCAAAAATACTCAAATCTACATTAATCAATATTTTACACAATTCTAAAATAGATTTATGACCCAAGGAAAAGAAAAATCACAATCGTGGGTGTAATTGAGGATTGCTTTCTTGAGCAATTAGCTTTATCGCAGTTTACTTTTCATAGTTATATTCTTGCTGTCCTCGCGTACGAGTTTTAATCATTCTGGAAATGACGAATGATCATGTGGATTTTTAAAAATAATTGTATATCGGTAAATCTAATATTTTTTCTCTCATGATGGAACGATCATTAATTCAAGATAAAGGGTAACTTTTCTGCACTTTTTTTCTGTAAAAACATTAATTAATAATATAGCACAATCTTTTATTTCTTTATTTGTATATGTATTATTTATTTATACTTTTATTTTGATTCATCTACATTAATGCATTTTTGAATTTAAAAAAAATATTAAAATTAAATATTTAAATATTTTTCAGAAAAACTTCGTTGAATATCTGTATATAACCAGTCAGCTACAAAATTGAGATATTTTTTTGAGTAACCAATTCAATTAGTCAGATAAATGGGCCTATTCATCTGTCACCAATTCATTTACAGGTAACAAAAAGTAATTTAGAGATTAATTGCTTTTTTGATTACTTCATGATTTTTAAAAGTTGATGAATTAACTATGCAGCTTATTTTATAGACATTTCACTATCACCCACGCTAGGTTTCTATAAAAAAAATTTTTTTTTAATGGTTGATCATGTTACAATTTTGTAGTTAAATAATATATGTATATAAATAGATAATAATAATGTCTAGAATCTGAAATTTTTGATAAAATATCAGTGACTTGGTGTAGCAGGAATAAAATATAAATATCATACACTAAAGTTATCCCAACAAGCTCCAAATGATGTAGATGTTGTTGGATCACGGAAAACCGTTATCATCAAACATCCAACTCTTGTACTCAAGTTTCGTTCATGTTCGTAATTTTCTTCACCTTTTTCCTTACATCCTTTCAGTATTTCCTAGACATTACGAGTTTCCTATAAAAAAAGACAACATAATAAATAAACTCGAGAAATAAATTAATTTTATGAACCGTATAGATTTTAATCTATCTCAGATTTCAAGACAAAGCGTGATAGTGTGATGTCTATAGAGAATAAAATCAATCAAAATGCTCGAACATATGAAGAATAAAAAATGGAAAAAGGGTTAAATGAGTATCCGGTTAGGTCATTGATTTGTATGTTTTCACAGTCGCACGCGCCGCAGGGGATAAAATGCAGTTACACATTCCAATACTGCAAAAGAAGTGGACGATGAACGGAGGAAAGAAAGAAAGAAAAAGATGGTCAGGTCAGCTAAGAGCTATCTGTAACCATTAAGTCGACCGAACAACACCGATACAAATGCCTCTGCTTTTGTATATAATTAATCGAGGAGAATAAAAACGTGAATCGCGCTTCTGGATTTTTCTCTACAACTTTGAAGATTAAATAAACGTGTGTAAGACAGTAGCAGACCACCAAGGTCGAAGTCACAATTATTCGCATAAATTAAAAAAATTACAATCATTTTTATTCAATCAATTAGCCAAGATAACTCGGATTTGAATAAATTTCTGTCAATTATCTCTCTCTCTCTCTCTCTCTCGATCTGGTTAATCAGAATAATTTATTTATGATATTGATAAGGTAGAAATAAAATTTATTTTTTGTATTCAAATATTTTCAGATTCATTTCGTGATGAGATTCCAAACTAAACGATTTTTCAAGTGTTGATTCTGAGGTGGGTTGGTAAAAATTGTAAATGAAATGTGACAGTGATTTATGAATAAATGATGACATTTAAATTCACCAGCCAATTTTTGAATGAATCATGACTTTTTTTTTTAATTAAACATCTTGACACGTGAAAATAATTGATCAATACAAATGCGATAAAGAATCAATGATAAAAATTATTTTTCAAGCTATTTATCTGTCAGTCTTATTTTTTATAGAATTTTACTCGAAAATTATAGTGTATTTGTTTTCTATAAATTAATTTATTATCAGAAATTAATTAAAATAAACTATTTTCATTTAACTGTGAATAATTCTTTATCAAATTTAATTAAGTTTCGTATCAGACAATCTTGTACATAAAATTATGTTTTATGTCTTAATTTGCATATTTGAAACAAAAATTGTTGTATTTCATGTAATTCATTAAATGGAATTTTTCAATTAAATTTTAAATCATATAAATAAATAATATTACCTACTAATTCATACTGTTTAATTAACTGTTTTACAGGATAAAATAAATTTCTTAATTAAAAGCTTTCTTGTATTTATGAGATGATTATTGTGTTGTAAGTTTATTTTATAGGACTGTGAAACACAAAACGTTAGAGTAAGTTATTTTATGTTATTTTTTTTATAACAATTTGAATTTCGTGACTATTTTACTAACTTGTTAATTAGACATTTATAAAAAATTTTATTTTATTTACTTTATTATACAATATAGCATTTTATTATTGCATAAAAATATTTTCTTTTATTATTCTTATAAAATAATATAAGTCATATAATTTTGAATTACAGCCAATAATTTAAAAATGACTGGATTTTATTTTAAAATAATGATGAAGCTCAATTTTCCAAATGAAATATTTCTTTTAGTGATAATGATTTTTTTTAAATTTGATAAAATAAATAAAGAGTAATAATTATTTATTATAATATTTTATTTATTGAGTAACTAAAAAAGAAATTATTAAGCGTTTGTTTATTAGATTGTATTTAATCAAAAAGTTTATGAAATATATTCTTCAATAAAGAGGACTAAAAATCCTGAATGAAGAGATATAATTTATCAAGTCATGTTAATAAAGATCAAATGTGAATATAGATGCTACTTTTCACGAAAATAATGCCTTTCATGATTACAATCAAAAAGTCGAAATGCCAAAATAAAATGAAAATTGATAATGATAATCACCTTTTTAAAATATTTGTATGGCAAACGTGTTTCTAAAACCATTTGAATGCAGGCGTTTCAACTTGTGCTTCACTCTTTTGTTGAAAATAAAAATAATAAAAAAATCTTCGTTTGCTTCTCCTTTTTTTCAGACATTTTTAACAGCTGCGATTAGACCTCCAATGGGATTCCCGGATCCGCAGAAAAACGTAGGATTCCGCAATCTCCTTTAAAGAAAAAAATCAACATTAATAATCACGAGGGTGTCGACTAAAATAGAGTCTGATAGGAATTCTTGGCACGAATGAGTCCAGTTTACGATCAACACACCATCCAAAGTACTCACAAAAGGTACTAATAATGTTGGAAGGACTGGAAGTTAGGACCACGCTTATCTGCAGGACACGAAAATAAAAGGATACAAAATGAGTCCCGAAATATCCATGAAAACTTTTTTTCTACTCGAAACTGGATATATATAGTCATATAATGACACATCCAAATACTTCGATAAAAATATTAACAACGTGTAAAAAAGTTTCAATTTAGTCTATTGGATTTAATTGGACCAGAGGAAAAATAATTAACGAGATGAATAATTATTCGAATATTTAGTTCAATCATTTTTTACCAACTATTTCGTTTGTAGCCTCAAAAAACATCTCTACTTCTCCATTTATTCTGCTCCAATTTCGAGAACTGTCCAAACAAAAAATATCATTTGATTTTAAGTGCTATGTCCTTTACAAGGAAACCTTTTTCGACGATTCTACTGAAATAAAAAAAAATACAAGTCATTAATAACAGAAAAAAAACCAATACTATCAGTAATAAAATTCTACATTCTACTTTTTTTTCTACAATAAAAAGAAAAAACTATAATACCTGTCAATTCCCGTTACTTTCATCAATAAATGAAATGAGAGTAATTTTAATAGATATCATGAAAATATTTCAATTTGTCACGCAACTCATTCCATAAAAAGAATAAAAAATAATCAGATTATAAAGTCGAATCTTCTTCAGTCAAAATGTTTACGCTACAAATAATGGAAGAAGAGTAATTGATTTTGAAAACAAACACATTCTTCAATTATTACTTGTACTGTGTATGACAAGAATTATATATTGACAATTGAAAATGTTCCAGGTGTTTAATCAATAATCTTCTTTGCAAATTTATACAGAATAATTGCTTACATGTCCATAACATTGAATAGACTGCTATACAATAAATATGTGTATACTTGACTATCAAACGATTCTATCTACTTTGACCTCATATATAGTCGGAATTCAATAAAAAAAACGTTCAGTTTGTGACCTACATGTGCTCTACACACACACAAATTATATTGCAAATTAGATACATTTCAATATCAATATCATGGTGACAATAACCAAATTTTGTGTTTTTGTGTCAGTCAGTATTCTGTTTTATTCTACTACAGAGACCTTTGCATTTATGAAAAATTTATCAACTCCTGATGACTTTTGTACATCTGGTGAATCGGTGGTATGATATTTCAATTATTTTATTTTAAAATAGTCAAAGGTTGACACCTTGATAGTATTCAATTAAAATGAAACTTTGATTAAAGGGATATAAAATGAATTTTTGGTCAGAATCTGAAGACACAGTCGTTCATCATATTTTTGATGGAGAATTTGTATTTGCACTGCAATCAATTATGTTCAATTTACTCAAAAATTCAACATCAATATTTCCCAATATTTTGGTTTGCAAAGGATTTAAATCATCACTCTTTAATGATATGCCATATCGTGCAATTTTGGAGTGAAATATCAGCAACTTTGTCTTGATGATTAAAATATTTTCATACACATATGGATTATTCTGCCAATCTCAATATTATTATAATTTCATAAGAGTTTTTTTGTACTGAATGTGTTTATTAATAATGATATTTCAACTGAAATATAGACTAGATTCAAAACCAACTCGATGTAGAATACAAATTTACACTGACCTGTAAGATAAACAATTTTATAATTTCAATAAAAAAATAGATGTATCTTTAAAGAAATTTTTTAAACTTACTTTGTTCATACATATTTGCCACTTTTATTTGCATGTTTAATAATCTCAAAAACTTAATATTAAAATTTCTCAATATAGTCCAGTCAACATATTTTGAAAAATGGAATTCCGTTAAACATTAACCGTAGTTTATCAACAAATAATTAACTTTTATTTTCCATTGGTTTGTAAAGGATATTAATTGAACTGGGTAGACTTATTTAATTATTAATCACACTACAGCTTGTAGTATTTTTTTTATTGTTATGAATGATTATTAAATTTAAAGTGGATACCTTTTATATATAAAAATAAACAACATAATTTTAGAAGGAGACAGAATGAGTAAGCACAACTGGAAATGTATGTATGTTGTCGTTCGATCGCGCAAAAGCTGCATTTTTAACAAGGTCGACCAGTCAGAGTTTCTCCACCCCTATATCTACTTCATGACCAATGCCCTCAAGTCGAATATTTTTCACGGGATGGACGATTGCTCGTCGTCTCCAAGTATATCCCACTACTTTAACAAACAGCCACCCTGACGCCTCTCATTTGCATAGCATGAGCGCCAACAACCACATCACAATGTAACTTGAAACTTTTTAACCAGTATGACAATTTTTTAAGACACATCTTACCACGCAAATGACTCTAATGCATTTATGTATTGACCAAGGCTATTCTTTTGCACAAACCCTATTACTACTGAATCAACTTAATCACATCGTAATGTCATTTCCATGTTTAATTGAAAAAAATACATTAACCAGTTATCAGGTGATAAATATTATGATGCTAATGTGTAGATTCTCATAAATTTATCTTCGACCCGGATGTATTTACAAATCTTTTGTGCTACAATTCTGCAGTTAATTTATTATATTAAGGTATTATATTTATTATATTAAGGTCTGACATTATTTTTTAGATTATCGTTCTTTAAAAATTTCAGGTTAAATATTATTTCATCCATTTTTATAATACGTACACATATTCTTTTTAACTGCATACAATACTTCTCCAGTACAAAACAAAGTTACGATATTTAATATGGATGATTTTGTCCCAGCTGGGAATCGAACCTGCTACCCATGGCACGTCAAGGCTGACGCTACACTCATTAAGCAACCGCGTTGGTTATCAATTTCTATAATTATTCTTTTAATTAGCAAGATGGTTTACTAGATATCACGGTGATTTGATACAATATATGTTTAGATGGCGCTAGCGATTTACAATTAGATTAAAATGTTCTGCTAAATTATTCATTCTTCCTGGTAGCACCATCGCTAGCTGTGATCTTAGAGAATATCTCAAAAAATTAGAGAAAGATACTCAATTGATTGAATTCGAACAAGTAAGTATAAAAATAAATATTAGAAAAAAAGAATAATTAAGTTGTGTGCATTGTTCATTTGTTGTAATTAGTAGTAAAATAAATAATTAATAAATGTACTTGATTTTTGTTTCAGATTTAATCAATTTGACAAGTACAGGTAAAATAAAGTGAAGTCTCAGTTAGTAATTAATGATTGCAAAAATTAATTTCATTTTGACCACGAGGAATTGATTCACAAATAATTATCAATTATTGCAAAGGTAATTATTTTTTTTACGTGTATCTTTAATTTTAAGTAATTGTGAAAGAGTTGATCAAAAATTGTGAATCAGTCTTTGAATGTTGTTTCTGATGTATAGTTTATTTTTATCTATATTCGAATTTATCAATAAGAGTAAATTCATCATTTTCGTTTGTAAACAAGTTCTTACGACGCGAACTATATTAATAGTTGACTACATTCTTTCTATCTTCATAAACTTGCTTTTCATTCGATTCAACTTTTTTTTTATTAATTGTTAAATATTTTTATATTTTGAGAAAAACTGATTTATCAAAATCTATGCATATATTGGTGTTAAATTGTTTTGACATTGGTTATTTGTTTCTTGGTTTACATAAATTTGTAAGAAATCCCAAAAGAATTTTAATCCTCTATAATTATCTAGTTTATTTAAAAGTTTTTTTAAAATTATCTTTTAATTAAGATAAAAGTTGATATTTATTTTGAAGCAATTATTTAATCGATTAATAATTGTTGTTTAGGAAGAAAAATAAGAAGGATAAACTAACTCCTACACCTGTTCAATTTTATGGTATTGCTAGGATGGAAAAAAAAATTATCTCCTGAGGCTTGAATGAGAATACAATTACCTAACGAATGGAATTACATGATGTAGACCGAATTCTCACACCAACAGAAGAACTATATCTCGAATTTTATGACACATTTTTAGAAGAGAATAAGCACGTAAGAATATATACACCTTATTTTGAAAATTCAGCATTTTGTCCTTTACAAGATCCGCTTATTCCACCGTTTTTAAGCACTTTCATATCAATACCAATGATTCAATTCAAATTCGGTTTTACAAGAAAATCTACTGATTCTAAGGTTATAAAAAGAAAAATCAACAGTGAGTCAAAAATGAAGAAGAGAACATATACTACAAGAAATGCCGAGTCTATATTGGATCCTCCCATAAGTGTCTCTTCCAGCTCTAATGAAGTTCAAAATGCAACATCATCCAGTTCAACAAGGGCTTTTGCTGTTCCAAGTTCAACACGATTCCCTAGACAGCCACCAAGTTATAATGAAGCCCAAAGTTCAACATTACCTGCTCCGACAGTGACTCCTGCTTCGTATTCAGAAGCTCTTTTTAGACAGCCACCAAGTTATAATGAAGCCCAAAGTTCAACATTGCCTGGTCCAACAATGGTCTCGACTTCGTATTCAGAAGCTCTCTTCAGACAGCCACCAAGTTATAATGAAGCTCAAAGTTCAACATTGCCTGGTCCAACAATGGTCTCGACTTCGTATTCAGAAGCTCTCTTTAGACAGCCACCAAGTTATAATGAAACCCAGGATTCAATATTACCCGGTCCAACAATGGTCGCTACGTCGTATTCAGCACTATCTGGCCATCCACCAATAAATTATAATTCTCATGCAGTAGCTTGTACATGTCCTGGGCCTTGTGAAAATTTTGCATATCCTTCTTACACTACTGCTTCAGGAGCCTCTACTTATTCAAGACCATTTTCTTCACAGTCACCAACAGATTGTTCGTGTGACGTCCGTTGCACATGTTCTCCAAATCCTGAATGGTGTCCATATCCTCCTTATATTTCTCCTACAACAGGAGCTGCTATTTCTCAGCCACCACCAAGTTATCCTTCTGGTCCAGAACCTTATTCATATCCCGAAACTTTTGGATATCATTCATATCCTTCATACAATACTGCTCCAACAAGAACTTCAACACATTGTGATTTGAATGAAGCAGCCTGTACATGTCCTCCTGACTATTATTCATATCCTCCTCAATCTACTGCTACAGCAGAAGCCTCTGCTACTTGTTCAGTACCATATCCTACACCTCCTCAAATAAATTATGATATACCTCCTCCACCTCCTTATCCTGAAACTTCTCAAAATTATTCATATCCTTCTTATACTAGTACCATAACAAACACCTCTGCATCTTCAAGTTCAGTATCATACCCTACACCTCCACCTTCAATAGATAATACTCACGATGCAGAGGCTTCTACATCCTACCCTCGAATTTCAGGAAATCGTTCATATCCTTCTTACACTACCATGACGAGCATGACTCCTGCTTCCGCTTCGGGGTCAATCCCTACTTCTTCTAAAGATTACCATACATCTGATGAAATGGCTGCTACATCCGATTCGGAAAATTCTACATCTCCATATCCCTCTTACAATGCCGAATAAGAACTAAGCTATACAGAACTTATAAAATACCTCATAATCATAATCAAATGGTGCTGAATTTTTTGCAACTGGAAATAGAAGAGACATATACATAGCTTGATTGAATGTTTTTTTTAAATAATATTGTAAACAATCATTGTAAAATAACATTTTTATCAATTGATCGCAAGGATAACATCCAAATTTTAAAATAATTGACAAATATGGAAAGAAAAATCGCAAGACAATATTCATTACTTTGATTACAAATATTAAAAATTTTTTAGAAAACTTCTATCACTTTCTATACAAATTTTTAAACAAAATAAAATAAATAAACAATTTTTCAACATATTTGAGTATTATTGGATTAATCCTTTACTTTCCCAGCAATATTTACAGGATTGAAGGAAATAATGTTACAAGTGATTAAATAATTGCAATAAGTTTAAGAAAGGCGCATATTTATTTCAAGCATAGTATAAAATTATATAAAAAAATAACTTATTTTTCAATTAAAATGTTTATCGTTTGAATAACTATTAGAAAACTGTCCATTAATAGAAACACTTGTACCAACTTTTTTACAATGCAGCTCTCGATAGTTGATGTTTCAATTTTTTTCTATTAATTCTATTTTCTATCAAGTAATAGTCCTATTACTTCATACTTAATTGTCAAGTATTCTATAATAAATCAACATTTTAAATTTTAATCTACTCCTTCCCATTAATTCTTTGTCAACAATCAATTCCACTAATTGAATTAATTTTTTACGATATCTAAATTCAGTAAATAAATGTAAAAATAATAATGTTGAAGGTGATGTCTTTGCATTCAGAATAGTTAAAAAAATTTGTAATATATTAATTTTCTAAAGTTTTTGATTTTAAAATACTCAATTGAAAAGCAATTATTTTATTAAAGGAATTCTATTCTATTCTCTTTTTCTATTATAAGTTCAGTAATGTAAACATACTTGTACATTTGAACAATATAAATTTAGATTATAGTCATTTGTTCAATGAAAATTTTTAAGTCGAGTAATTAATGATTAATATAATTTTCTAAAAGATGAAATTGCAGATGTCCACATCTAAATGATGAATAAAATATAGAAAACTTAACACATTGATTTTTGTAATGAAATTTCTCAATTACTGATGTTGTGTATGATATAATATTCATATTGTAGCCGCTACTGTTCGGTTATAAAAATTACAATATATCAATGAATAAGTCTATGAAATTCTCCAACGATTATAAAAATAATGATGCTATATCTATATTTGATTTATTTAAATTTCTGTCTTACTGAGGGTTATCTTTTTCATGAGAAGGACCTCTTGTTAAAAATTTAAGCATTGAAACAGTCGGACTTTTGGCTCTACGAACTTCGACAGATTTCGACCTAACATTTCTTCGCGCGGATGTTCCTTGATTTATTGGACTAGTAATTGTATTATTAGACTCTACTTGCTTTTGTGACATATTTTTTTCAAACCTCATCTGTCTCATTTTGGTCAACCAGTCAACGTTCTCTTTGCTTTTGATTGGCGATACAGGAATAAGATGCGGAGCTGTACCATCAATAACAAAATTGGGTAAATTCATTGTTGGCGAGAATGGTTGTCTATCATCAGATGTGGAGGTACTTGGAGTAGGTTCATTTAGGTCATAATCTCTGTGGGGTAATAAGTCTTTTGTACTCATAGGACTGAAAAGTCTTCTTGGTGTTCGATATTCGAGATAGGCACGTTTTGTCGGTGGACTAGAATTTTCTTCTATAGGAGATAATATAGTTTTAAATTTACTGTCTGACCAGGGTCCACCTGCTAGCATTTGAGCTCGGGTTCTTTTTCCTGAACTTCCGGAAGTTGTTGAATCGGGAGATTCTAAATTACTGTGATCAGCATCACTGCCATGTGATACTAAAATTAGAAATATTTATTTAATGAATAATAAAATAATTGTTCTTTAGAAATCCTAAAAATTCCATACCTGGTGTAACATCAAATATAATGTCTGAAAGAGGGGTATTATGATGTCTAACATTCCTCAACTCTGTCGTGGTTGGTGTAGATTCTTGTTTTGTTTGATGAACAATCGATGTTGATGCTATTGGATGTGCAGAGCCTTGAATTTCTATTGCATCATTCATTCCTTCATGTTCTAGACCAACGCGCCAAATACGATGATAAGTATCATCACAACATGTTGCAATGATTGGTTCTCCATACGGTCTCCAAGCCACACAAGTCACTTCATCTGCATGACCAGAGAGTTTGATGATAGGTCCACCAGGCTTACTTGTTCTCCAAATGTATGCATTTTCATCACTTGAACCACTTAATAAATAACGACCATCAGGACTCAAGCAACTCCTGACGAAAAATGATTGATTTTGATGTCCATAATACTCTGCAATCGGTTTAGGGTCATAAGACGATAAATTGTAAGCATAAATAATATTATCCATGCAGCTAATATAAAGCGTTATTCTTGAAGGGCAAACGACCATAGAAGTAAATCCATTTCTTGTGCTATTTCCGTGATATTTAAATACATGTTTTGCTAAAGGCTGCTTTTTATGAATAGTATAATTCTTTCGCATATCCCAAACTTTAATAAAACCACCACCAGCTGCACAAGAAATTAATGTATAGTCATCTTGGAACACCAATCCTGTAATACTCTCGGAAGAATTTGTTTGTCTTATAGATCCTCGATGCTTGCGAACTTTTTCTGATTTAATACTATGAGCATTTAGAATACAACCGTCAGGTTTAGTTTGATTGGTGTGCTTAGCTCGGATATCCCAGAAGAGGATCGCACCATCTCGTGCACCTGATGCAAATAACGATTTGTCATCCGGTCGAAACACAACATTTCTCACACTCCTCGTATGGCCTTCAAAAGAGTCAATTAATTTAATTTCTGAATTAGCATCCCACAATTTAACTGAATGATCACTAGACCCAGTCAAAAGTTTAAAGTCTCTTGGCATCCAATTAATATCGAATATTGCATTAAAATGTCCCTGAAATGACAAAAAATAAATAAAAATATTTAAGAGATTTATAAATAGATTTATTTAATATTTTATTTAATAGATTTATATACCTGTGTTCCATCGACAGAACAATTGGGATAATCGGATTTTATGGAAGTATCTTGCAACGCAATGTTTCCATCTTCACTTGCTAATGCTAGGACATCTTCACTTCCTGCACTTGTGCAAAAACTGAAGGCACACACAAGAGGATCTCCTTGGAAGTCCTGGTTGTTACGATTTACTGTTATTCCCCGATAGACATCACAGTAGTTGCATTTTAATCGATGAAGTGCGACATCGTAATCATGTACTAATTCTGCAATAAAAAAATCATTTATTGTTTATTATATTTAAAGTATATAGAATATAATCAATGCATTTAAAAGAGTAAATAAATTTTATAATTGGCCAAAACTTTCTAGTCAATTATAATAATAATAAAACTGAAATATTTTTCTTTCTGCATGTCATTTGTAAAAATATTAAGTTTGGAAAACCTTTCAGACATTAACATTGAGAAATTATTTTATTATAATGAAAATCAGGAGCAAGAAACGTTAAAAAAGGTTATTAGTTACCAAATCCAGTAATCTGTCGTATCAAAGAATCAACAATGTTCATTATTATAACATAAAACAAATTAATAACAACCCATATCACACTACATTACGCGGGAACTGTCACTTCTTTGAAAACTGAAATATAGTAAATATTGGTATAGTGCTACCTTTAAGGCGCATTTCCACACTTCATCAAAACAAGCTTCAATTCTGAATTCATAGAGTGCGCTATGCATTATTTCCCATGGTTGAGCAGTTGTAGGTACATATATTTTGGTTAGTTGACACAATTTTTCTACTCCAAACAAAAATAATAATAAACTTAACCAAACAAATCACTTTTATGTCGGTCTATTATTTGGAGTCAATTAAATCGATACCGTTAATTAGATATAGTGTTTTCTCAAAAATTTCTATGAATTATATGTAATGGAAGAGGCTGAAATTAGTGCCAAAGAAAAAGAAAACATATGTGAGCGTTCTTATTGCGATGCATTAAAAAGGTAATTCCTTGATAAGTATCCACAATTGTGATTAATTATTATATAATCTTTAATTATTTTATTGAATTTATGAATTTTAAAAACCTTTTTATTACTAGAATTACTCACCGAGAAAATATTGACTTCTTTCATCTATCAAAATACATAATTAAGAGACGTGAAAAAGCTTGGAGTGAACTATTCGATAAGTATGACAAAGAGGTAAGCATCATTCAATTATTATCTTATCATTGTTACAAACACTTTCTAATAGAGTAAAGCCACTCTTAGTTGACTACAATAATTAGTCGAATTCTATTGGAAAATTATTGTAGAAATAGTTTTCATTGTGCTGTTAAAATTCAAACTGAAGTTATTTCTTTTCCCATATGTTTTATTGTTATTGATTGATTAAATTTAATAACTAAACTTGCTCTGCTACTAGAGGTGGTTATACTCTGTATTAATAAAAAATTCACCATTTAATGCACAAATTATCAATCATTCAGTGTATGTTTGACATTAAAATATTTTTGTAGATAGATGATTATGAAATCAAGATGTACGACTCGGGTTCTGATGTTAACGACGATGAGAAAGACATGGACAACAAGTCAGAACAAGAAGCTGATGATGTGGATGAAAAATTATATTTTATAAAAAATCGGACTCCTATCCGCAAACTTCCTGCTTTGGTTCAGTATTGGGTGGATACTGGAAATCCTCCATTTCAGCTTAATTTAGAACATGACGACTGTGAATCATCTTTGAGTGAGGATCAAAAATCTAGCCCGTTAATTATACATGCACAATCTGAAACTGAAGATAAACGTGATCACAGCACATCTTTTCTCAGTTCTGTAGATACTGCTGCGTATATTTTATCGAATACCAATGTAACAAAAAAAGCCGACACATTAGCTATTGTTGAAGGGGCTAAGAAGTCTGATTCGCCAATAGAAACAAACAATATCTTATTAAATGCTTCGAAAAACTGTACATCTACAAATGAAGCATCTAATACTCAAGATGAAAATAATCATAATCTGGTAAGTGGAAGAACTTCTATTCACCACATGAATGGAACAGATTTAACGGCTATAAAATCGCACGTGTTAACTGCCCTTAATCCAGATAATGTAAAAAAGAAAAAACTTATAAGTAGCGAAAGTTGTGATAAATCTTTGGACAAATTGATCATGGAAACGAGTGTAAAAATAACTGATATTCTTCCAACTCTTGAACAATTTGATAAAACAATGAATGGAAATACAAGTGATAATGATGATAAGTCGTCGAATATTGTTTCGTGGAAAGATAGTCACAAATCATCTAAGATCCAACCGTGTGCCCGCAAGAAGTTATATACGAATAGAGAGAGTCCAATAGACTTGATTCTGAGTGATCCAAAAAATAATTTTAAACCAAGGTTTAGTGCAAATGTTTTACATCCAGCATTGCAAGGTACACCAACTATTAATGCATCAAGATTGTACTTTAGACGAAGAACACTAAGGTATTCTAAAAAAAGGAAAAGTATTCCAAGCAATAAATCCAAGAGACTTTCGAATAAAAGTTCCCTTAATTCTCCAAACGTAAGAAAAAGTAGTCGTAAGCGTTCAAGTGCTAAAGTAACTAATTTAAATCATGATGTAACTGATAGTAGCAAAAAAAACTCAGCTGACAATGATGATCAAATGAAAAATGATGAAAGAAAAGAAGACCTTATAGAACTTTGTAAAAAGAAAACATTAGTTGTAAAATTAGAAAGAATTCCAGATGATAAGTTAATAAATGGAAAAGTACTAGATATTAAAAAGCCACTAAATTTGAGTAACACTTTATCTGCTGAAGCTACTAAGTCAAATATAAAAAAATCGAAAGACTATGCTGATTTTCTGGAACTGGATTCCCAAGAGAGTGATCAAAGTACAATAATAATTTGTGAATGTAATGATAAGAGTAATTTATCATCGCAAGAGGACAATCAAACTTGTTCTGAAAATGAATCAATGCACTCAAAAGACGAACATAATAAAAAAGCTACAAAACAATCAACTAAGTTACTTAATGAAGAGTTACAAAATATTGATAGACAAGTTCCTCCAGACGAAAACAAGATTATAGTTGATGACGACGACTCTTCCGATATTTTCATAGGAAAATTTAATAAAATAACAGATCCATCAATACTATCTGAAATATTAGCTTTATCTAATAAGAAAGAAACAATGTCACCGAATTCTGATAAAAGTAAGCAGATTGAAGTTAACATTCAGTCACCCTCGCCTCAAAAATCAAATATTTCAGAAAATTCTGAAGACCATTCTTGGAGGCTGCGATTGACTTTTTCGTCAGATGAAGAGGATGATTTCATAAAGATGATTCGACAAAAAACAGTGATTAGTAAAATTACACAAACACAAATTGAAGACAAATCAGCTGAAGATGCTAATAAAAGTGGACCAATTGTAAATAACTCTAACAATGAATCAAATCTGCAATGTAAGTTTGGAATGATTGCATCTTCTGATGATGATGAGAAAAAAATTATAAAGGTCGAGAACATTTTTACTCAAAAAAGGAAAAGTCTTCGTATTCATTCTCGTAGTAAAAAAGTTGAAACTGTATCTTCTGATGATGAAGCTGTGGAAATCGGAACAACTAGACATAAAAGAAAAAGTACAAACTCTCATAGTAAAAAATGTAATAAACATTCTGGTAAAGCAATCGTCAAAAGTATTTCTCCAAAAAATAGCACAAAAGAAGTAGCTTCCCATATTAATGTAGAGTTAAATTATCCTGAATCGGATGCATCAAGTGAAAACATAACACCACCTAAAAAACTGAAAACTACTCCAGATGATATTCCGAATGGTAATAAAAAGGAATCGATGAATGATACCAACTCAATTAATGTGCCAATGATTTCCTTAAAAGAAGAAGATTTTTCGTTGAACAAGAAAAACTTGAATGACCTTATAAAGCAAAATTTGACCGTGAAACCTGATCGAACTCTTCGATCGAAAAGACAAAGACGTTCCAACCCGAAGAATAAAAAAGACAGTAATGTATCTAGAAATGGAGATCATGAAAACAAATGCTCTCCAAAGAAACAGATTTTGATGAAGGAATTTAGTATTTCAGTAGTTAAATGTTCAAATCCATCAGAAGATGTTGTAGATTCAGGCTTGAGTTCAATTGTATCATCGAATGATAAAAGAAGCAAAAAATTAACATGCAGTGATCATTCCAGAAATGCTAGCCCGGTTGAAAAGCGAAATGAAAACAGTCCTAGATCATTAAAAAGAAAAACCAACAGATCTAGAAGTATTCAACGAAGTGCATTGAAAGCTGTGAAGAAATTAAATAAAAAACCCAAAAGTATCTCGGTATCAAATGAAAGTGAGTCTGAAAGTGATTTAAAACCTATAACACGTAGACAATCTGCTATTAATAAATCAAATTCAAGTAATCCTACAAATACACAAGGAAAACAAAATTTTGATAATATATTCCCGGACCCTATTAATGATTCTGATGTTTTGGATATGCCAGTATTTTCTAGTAGGTCCAGAAGAAGTCGAGATAAAAATGCTGAAAAGAATCACACAGATAAAACTTTATCAAATAGTAGACTAAGAAATGGTAAAATCAAATTTCACACCGGAATGTCGAGTGATTCGGATTAATATGAACTATTTTTGTAAAAAAATTATTATTATTTTAATTAATTTGTTATTTATATATTAAAGACGTAAAAATAATTGTAAATAATTTAAATGAATTTTAAAAATATAATATTAAATTATAATCTACCTTCTGACAAAATTTTTAAGAGAAAAAATAATTGTTTCTACGTACAAGGCCATTCTAAAAACATATCCAATTTTCGCGCACAATTATGATATTAAAGTAATTTATTGCTTATTTTTTTTGATTTTATATGGTCGTTGACGACTTTTTTATATTTAAAATTATTAGCGTTTTATATGTAAAGCTATATTTTTGTAATGATTTAACAAATTGTTTCATGATAATAATTAATATTGAGTATATTTTTATAGTCTTAACAGCAGTTGTTATTATGCAATTAGAGATATTATTTAACAAAAATACGTTGGAGATCTGAAATTTAATGTAATGGTGCCAGTGATTAATACGTCCCGCTCTCTTATACCCTAAATTTCAGTGCGTTATTAAAAGAATTAAACCAAGACTTACATTTTTAAATTCTAATTTGCATAAACCAATAATAATAATTAAAATCCAATAGAAATAACAATTGTCTATATAATAAAATACAATTTATGTAGATAAAAATTTAATAATCATTTGTTGATACATACATTGTAAAAACGCTTTATGAAGGAAGTTATAAACAAATAAACATTTGTATTTATTATTATTATTAAGATAATTATTTTTTAGCTATTCCCATCATATGATAACAAGTTAAATTTAAACGATAAGATTGAGTTACATCCCCTTGTAATTTGAATGTATCCCACTTGACTTTACGAAATCCTGTTGTTTTGATTTCTTTCAAGGGGTTAGAATCTAATCGACAATCACCAAATAGAGTAGGCCAAATTTTAGTCTTCGTTAATAATTCCTGTAACCAACGAGTCAATGTACCTTTGCGATGAGGTATGTGCTCCAAGAAAAAATACTGTCCATCCTGAATATAATTTTATATCTAAAATTAAAAAACTGTCACAGTAGAAATAATTTTTAGCTAAGCTTTTGCTTTGTTTACCAACACAAGGATTCTTTTAATTTCCTGAAGAGTATCAGCTACTGGAGAAATAGAACACAAAGATCTGATCGTGACTACTGCATCAACATAGCCTGTTGGAATTTGCTTCAGTTGGGTTCCATCACCAACAATGATCTTTTCAATAAAAATATGAGCAAACTGCCACAATGGACCATTTCGAGTTAAATACTCTTCGAGTTTATGATTACAATCCACGCCAATAAAATGAGTCTCATCAGGATAAAATGGAATATTTTGTCCTTTAAAAAATAAGTATCAACTTTAGAAGGCTCTTTTAGCTATAAGAGAATTCAGTTATTAGTTATACCAGTTTTAACTCCAATTTCAAGAAGTCTGATACAATTTTTAGCTTTTAGCACTGGATCCTTTGAGATGATATTATTCAATGGTTCAAGAAGACGTTTTTTATAAGATACCATTAATTCTGCACACTCTGTTTCAAAGCCTAGTAGATGTGATCTGTAAATATAATTGGTGAACTTTGACCACTTTAGCTTGACAATATAATAGATAAACACTGTTCCAAATATTAGAGAGCCATATATTGTTAGAACATCACGAATCCAAAGGTCATGAACAGCCATGACGCCAAGTTCACGACAACTACATGAGTATTATCAAGAAACACTTGTTAATGAACTTGAACAGATAATAAAAACACACCCAAAACAATTGAAAAAATTTGATTTGTTTCAAAACTTCCTAATAACTCAATGTCATTGTTAAATGCACTTGAAAAGTATTGGTTATATGAAAATATTCAAGTATAATCTTGGTAATGATAAGATAAATTTTTATTTTTATGTAGGTTGACCTTTCAACGGTGAAGTAAGAATGACTAAGTATTTTACAATTCAATAATAATTGTTTAAAAGACTATTTGCAAAAATAAAAGGATCTTCAAAGTGCAGAGTGCTTATTTAGTTGAAGATAATACTGCGAAAATTATTTCAAGTATATCTTTGAATTCCTAAATTATATGCTGACATTTTTCAAGCTCCCATCCTCCTTGGATAAGTGGAAGTAATTTTACTTCTAATATATGTAATTCAGTTTGTTTAAAATTATTTAGCTTCTTCCTTTGTTAAATATATATTAAAGAAATTTCTTTTCATTCTTAACAACAATGTGGGTTATAAAGAACTATATTTTATCATCTCACTGAATCTTCAAATTTTAAAGACTCAAAAATGTTATAAATAAATTTTAAGATACTTCTTGTGATAAATATACTTCTACTTTTTCAACGGTTTTGCTCACAACAGTTATTAAAAAATATTCATACTATCATAAACAATGATTAAATTGGTTTCAACAAATAATTTATGTAATGATTAATATTAACTGCAAGATGAAGAATTAATTTATCAATTCATCAGTTATAAGTTAATAATATATAATGAAATAAAACATTAATTTATTTATTCAGACATCATGTGAAATTGAAAAGAGAAGTTGGATAAACCCCCCGTTGAAAATGACTGTATTTGAAAACGGTGCTATGAGTTTTTACCCGAATGTGCAATCTCAGCAAATAAAAAAATATTTAAGCTAGAGGGGTCAGAGAGCAAGAACAATGACTCTATGCGTTTTCCAAACGAGAAAAAAACAAGAACCCCAATGTACAATAGACTAAAAGTTTGATATCGATGTCGGGGCGCGCAAATTTCTTTGTCGAATTCGCTGAAGAGTGACCACAAACAACGGAGTCGGCGATTATGTTCGACCAAGTGGTGTACTCAGCCATTTGTGATGCGGACAAGCGTATATACGAATTCGATTGAGAGGCATTTCGCGATCCGGAGGCGTTTTGTTTTCTACATTGGGCGGAGAGTAGGTTGGCCGTTGTGGTGGCTCGTTGACTTCAATGAATTGCTGGTGAAATTCACAGTCAACCCCAGCAACCTTGTGCTCAATCTCAACAACTTTAATCGATTTGTTTCTAGCCAGGAATTGATTCCCAGGAATCATTCTTTTTTTCTCTTTACTTATACTGCTGTCATGAGAATTTCAATTTCTGCAAGAAAGAAATGAACAGATTTAAGTCACATTTATTCTTGGATAAACAATAAGTCAATATTTTATTCAACCTTTGTAAGGGTAGCTATGACTTATTGAATGAAAAAATAAAATAAAATACATGAGCAAGAATCAGGACATTGATATGATTGATTTTCTATAAACTTCTCTCAATTCTTTGATTGCTAAACCAATTATTACACAACTATTTCTTTTATTAATATCAAAGTACTCATTTCTCTTTATCAGCATTGAGACACCTCATAAAAGAGATGAATACAACACAAAGAGCTCGTAAATTTTTATTCTCTTTAACAGCAAACGTGATAGAGTACTGCAGTCACATTTAAATATTTTTCTCTCTCAAAAGATCACATTGATAGGCTGTAAGTTTGCTTCGTGACCGGCAATAAGCTAAGAAAAGTACTGGATAAACCTTCAGGCAATGTGTGCTAACTCTGTAACTTCTGTACGTATATATATATGTGCTCAATTCTCAAATCTGCTGACACATCCGAAGCATGTCATAGCAACTTACAGTCGTTGGTAAAACGTGACCGCGATGTGCATCACTGTGCCAACTAGACGTGTACTTGTCAAGTGCTTGATTCAAGCATTTTGCTTCTCTAGCTAGCAAGTTTATTGTTTATAAACTGCTCAATAATAATTTTACCTGCCAGCAAAGCGTTTATCCCAAAACAGCTAAATAATAAGACTTATTAAGGACGTCCCTTTCATAGCTCATGTAATTTATGCTCTACAACAGTATAAATGCAAATAATTTTTTTTTAAATTAACAATATAATTTATCACTACTATTGTAAGTAATATAATTGATGTTAATATTTTTCTTGATGTCAGATGTTAATAACTGAATACACTTATTTATTTTGCAATCTTGAAATATATTAATTACTTACCTTGTAAAATAAGTTTTTTACACTTCTCTATGGTAGAACATATCTGCTTGTTTGTATACATAATTAATAGTTATTTTTATGCTGTATGTAAACTCTACAAATATTCATATTAATCTATATCAATTTATAAAAACATTATAAATGCGGGTAACAGCTGTTGTATATTGACATATACATTCATTAATGAAGCCTATCATCAACAAAAAACCTTCAAATAAAATAATCTGATACTGATCTTCAGTATAATGACAAAAGCGCTCAATTCTGAATGAATAAAATTTAGCAAAAAAAAAGATCTTACCTTCATAGCGGTGAAAATGAGGGTAATTTTTCAAGTATCACATTGACTTTCTAATCGCACCTGTCATACGTCGATTAGAGTCTGGCACGTGTTGTCTCAGACCCTCCACATAGTACGTAATCTCAAACTCGTTACAATCGCGATGGCTGAGGATCGTCAGAACCTTCACGTGTTGATCGCTTGATTACGTACTCAAACCAGTCTAACGCCAGATGTGTTCATCGTTAGGGACTACTCATCATTTTTTTTTCTTTGCTTTTTTTCTCACTCAAAGATAGATCTAAAAGTAAAACAATTAAGTAAAGTGTGGCACCATTTAGTCGGGCTAATTGCAAACAGCTCAGTTGAAACAAAAATGATCCCTCTTTCCCTTCTATCTGACGCACCTTTGACACGCGACACCGTACCACTGGTAACGTACACGACTGACATATGTCAACTGAACATCCTGGAAACATGTTGACATGCTCCTGGGCTATTAACACGCGAAAGAAATTTCTGAAAAAAAAATCAATTATTCAAATATAATTGAACTCATTTTTCATGAAAATGTTAATAGAAAGTATTTTGTTACTTACTCTGAAAGATTTCATTTTTGGTTTCCACGTGTTTGGAAAAGTTGGAATTTTTTAAAAGACATTTTGGTTTTCAATGAGCGTAACTGACGTGCATATCAAGCTGTCGAGAGAATAATTAAAGGAAGTTAGATATATCAAATTATATAAATTAAGTTAACCTCTTTGAAATTCAGTAAAAAAAATAATTGTTCTATTAGATTTATTTGTCTTGTGGTTTTCGACTTTCAATTAAAACAAAAATTGTGTGAAATAAAATAACAACAATGTCCATCAATTTTAACGCCATTATTTATTGACTAAATTTATATTAAACCAATGATTATTATTTCATTATATTAATTACCAATTACTTATATTTTTTCTAACCTCAAATTAAATAAATTCCTTATCTTTTTGTTACTTTAAAGTTAAATATACCCCAATGATTCTAAAAAACCCTTTAGAGCACTATTTGGTTCATATTCAAGTCTTAAGAGGTTAAAAGTACTGCATATTCTTCCTTTAGAAACAATTAATGCTTACCTAAAATATCCGGATAATTTTTAAAAAAAAAAATATTCTTCGCTAATGTTTATAAAAAGCTTGAAATTTTATGATGACTGAGCGACATATTTTTTTAAAAGAGTAAAAAGACTCTTAAAACACTGAAAAAGAAAGGAAAAAATGGATAATACATTGTCTGAAGAAACTTTAGTTTTAAAATGTAGGGGTGGCATTGAATATAGTGTCTTGTAGTGCAGCAAAAGGTAAGAAGTGGCCGTCGAGGACGCTCTTCCAAGTGACGCTACGATAGCAGACATGATGGCATTGTCTCCATTGTTTGTGAATTGTAATCAATATTTTCACAATATCATGCTATTGTCTGTGACACGAGCGCATACAAAAATTTGCTCACTTCTCTTAGTGTTAAAAAAAAAAAAATACTAAACACTAAAAATAATTTTTATTTTCACTGTTTAATAATTTCCACACAACATATATGCCTTTAGAAAGTTTTACTGATTTGAGACCATCAAAAAGAACAGTTGTAAATAGGTAAGTTCTTTACGAGTTACTTGATACTTGGCTCATAAATACCATGAGAAAATTGTTCATCTTCTAGAGTTCTTTTGGTCAATTTTCGCTTCTATGTGACTTTTTGATTCTTCATAAAGCAGTGAATTTTATTGAGTTTCAAGAATTTAAGTGACCTACTAACCAATGTTTCGTTTTTATTCTCTGTAATAAAAATTCAAAAAAGGAAACTTGAGAAAATTTAAAACGATACATATAACAATTTGAGATAATTCAGACTTTCGAAAAATCTAGTCATAAATATGGCTATTGTATCTGATTTATTATATGTAAGTATCATAAAAAACATCATTTTAATGTTGTATTTTCCAATAAAAATATTAATCCATGACGAAAGGATTTTTCAAGCAATATAATGTTTTTTATTGTAAAAACATGTCATGTCTTTTTCTCATTTACTTCCAAAATTTTTTTCTAATTTCGAAAATCTTAAACATATTCTCAGATACTCATCTTCCAAGATGAATGTGATTCCGTTAACGAATCAGTTCCACTTAGAAATAGTCGTAAAGATTGTAAAGAACTAATAATTTGGATGAGAATCGGCCTCGAATGTAAATCTGAAGCAGAAAAATATCTTTTATTTTCAAAGTTACAGCATATTGTGTCCTCGCGTGCCAGCGGGTGTCGGTCAATGTGGAGGGAGAGAAATAAATGAGTGGCCTCGAGAAATTATTGCGAGAAGGTTACACAGTAATGAGTGGTCTAAACTGCCCTTCCTTTGTTCTCCATGGTGAGACGTTGTAAATCAGTGACGATCGGTCGTCAACAAGTACTAGTTGTTGTCATTGCAATTTTTCTCTCCTAAACATCATCCCTCTCCTTGTCCGGTGGCCTCGCGTTCTCATTGT